TGAGAGCCTGAAGTCTGCATCCTCTCTGGCCCGCAGGTCTGCTGCTGCTCCCGGGGTCTGGGCTGGCTCAGCTGCCCCCAGGCCTCTCTCTCTCTCTCTCTCTTTCTCTCTCTCTCTCTCTCTCTCTCTCTCTCTCTCTCTCTCTCTCTCTCTCGGAAGCTCCTTCTTCTCTCGGCCCTCCTGTGCTCATCTCCAGGCCTCGGGCAGGGCTTGGTGTGAGCGCCCCCTCTTCCTCTCCTGCGGCTTCCTCTGCCCGTCCACCTTGCTCGCAGCCTGGTGGCTGGGGCGAAAGGACAGGGACAAAAGGCCCACGGGGGATGAGGCGTGTGGGGACCCCCGTAGGCTCCTCCAGAGAGAGGACTCGGTAGTCTCTCCCATCTACACAGACTGGTGATGAGGGACGGGAAGGAGGTTGGACAGCTGGTCTACCCACCTGCCGCGCCTCCCGTCAGCCTATCCAGGGTGCCCAGTGGATGCCCCAAAGCCCTTGATGCCTCCCTGAGTCTCACCCGCCCAGCCCAGAGGAGGCCGCCCTCCTGCTGCCCCCAGCTCCAGCTGCAGTCTTCCAGCCAGCCCCTCCTTCCTAAAGTGCTCACCTGACTGAGCACGGCCCATGTCCTTCCCGGGTGCTGCAGAGTTGAGTGGCCCGTGCAGTGAGCAATGGGGGAAGGCGAGGGCCAAGGCCTCTCCCATCTGTGTGAAGAACCAGGGGTCCTGAGGACCCCTAGGGGCCCGCCCTACTATGGCCAGCTGCCCTGGACCAGGTGTGGCCCCTTAGAAGCCTGGGCCTGGGGAATATGCCAATGAAGGGAGGAGGAGAGCAGGCTGCAAGTGGGCGTGGCCACCAAGAGGGCGTAGCTCAATGGCAGGGGCGTGGCTGAAGGGGAGGGTGTGGCTTGAGAGGCAGGGGGCGTGGCCAGCACACCTCCCCCCCCACCTCTGTCATCCTCCTGATGCTCTGCTCCCCAGCCCGAAGTCGGGGTGCGCCTTGTCAAATCTGACAGCCTACACCACAGGAGGCCAGAGGAGAGCCAGGCCATGCTTCCAAGCTGCAGACACAACCTGGAAAGAGAGCCCATGTTCTCGTTAACACTGAGAGGCTCACTAGCCACAGAACCCCCCCCCCCCCGTCCCCCACCCTCCGTCCTCAGCTTCCCCCAGCAGAAGGTGAGCCAGTGCTCACTTGGGAGGAGCCAAGGCCACAATTACCTGTATGATGCATGGGGCTCAGGGATGAGGGGCCTATAAGCCCAGATCCTCCTTTCCTCCTTTTCTGGGGCCATCCTCTGTCCTGCCCTGTGTGTGTGTGTGTGTGTGTGTGAGAACTGGGGACAGATCAGTTGAGTCAGGACATTGGGGATTCTGAGACCTGGATCTTTTGTTGCTGCTGTTGTTGTTAATTTCCCCCGGGGCAGAGAAAAGCGTCGTGGTAGCCCTGTCCGCACCCGCCCTCCCTGATGAGGCCCAGCCCCGAGACTGGCCCAGCGCTGGGCAGCACCAGGGACGTGGTTAGGTCACGTCATCCTAGCTTCTCAGGAGGCTGAGATCTGAGGACCATGGTTCAAAACCAGCCCGGGGCAGGAAAGTCCATGAGACTCTGATCTCCAGTGAACCATCAGAAAACCGGAAGTGGCGCTGTGGCTCAAGGGGTAGAGCGCCAGCCTTGAGCTGAAGAGCTGAGGGACAGTGCCCAGGCCCAGAGTTGAAGTCCCACGACCGATACAAATAAATAACTAAAAATACAAACTAAAGCAAGGCTCACGTCTACCTCCACTTGTAGAACGTGGATTAAGGTTCAGAATGGTGGAGGTGGCTAAGACCGGCCGTGCCCGGGGAACACTTGAGACTTGTAGACAGGGCCTTGTCACCGAGCTACACAACTGTAAGGACAGTAACTTGGTGCCATTCGCTTGGGTAGCCGTCAGACTGAGGCCTCCCGATGATGACTGCCTCCTGAGTTGCTGGGATTACAGGTGTGATCCACGAAGCCTGGCCTCATGGGATCATTTAACAACAACGCCCCAGAGCAGCCTTTGGGGGCTCCCCTCGGCCATACGTTCCTTCCGTCCCTGGTGTAGAATTCTGCTCCTTCTTGGGGTCCCGCCCAGGGGGCCTGACATCTCAGCTTATGCCCGGCCGAGGTCATCAGCCATGAGCCCCTCTTCCCTCTCCACCCCTGTGCCGGGGCCTTGGCCCCCGCGACCCCCTCCTGGCCTGCCTGACCACGCCCTTTCTCCCCTGTCCCCGCTGCAGATTGAGATGCTAGAGCACAAGTACGGGGGCCACCTGGTGTCGCGGCGGGCGGCCTGCACCATCCAGACCGCCTTCCGCCAGTACCAGCTCAGCAAGAACTTCGAGAAGATCCGCAACTCGCTGCTGGAGAGCCGCCTGCCCCGGCGCATCTCCCTGCGCAGGGCGCGGGCGCCCACGGCCGCCGAGAGCCTGGCAGCTGAGAGGGCGCTGGTGGAGAGCTGCGGGCTGCTGGGGCTGCCGCTCACGCGCGCGCCCTCCCTGCCGCCCGGCCTGGCGGGCACGCTCACCGAGCTCGAGGACTCCTTCACCGAGCAGGTGCAGTCCCTGGCCAAGTCCATCGACGACGCCCTGAGCACCTGGAGCCTCAAGACCATGTGCTCCCTGCAGGAGAGCGGTGCCTACCAGCTCCACCAGGCCCTGCACGCGGGCTCCGCACAGCCCGGCCTGGAGGTTGAGATGAGGGATCCGGACGGCAGCGGAAGCGGCGGCGCCGGCGCTGTCCCGGGGTCCGGGGAGGAGGCTGCGGAGGCCGGCCTGTCCCAGGGTCACAGCAGCACCCTCATGATGGCCTTCCGGGATGTCACCGTGCAGATCGCCAGTCAGAACATCTCCGTGTCCTCCACGGCGCTGTCGGTGGCCAACTGCCTGGGCGCACAGGCCCCCGCCGCGGAGCCCGCGGCCAGCAGGGCCGATCGCGACGAGGCCCCCGGGCTGGGGGACCAGGACGCCACAGCTCGGGGGGCCACCCCCACCGCGGACTCCTGTGCCGAGCCCGAGGCCGAGGCCGGCACCCAGCAGCCGGAGGCCGCAGAAGGCGTGGTGGAGGAGGCTGCGTCGGCTGAGGTGGAGGAGGAGGAGGAAGAGGAGGCCGGGAAAGCCGCCGAGGCGGAGGGGGGAGAGAACTCGGAGCGGCTCGGTGGTGGCAGCAGCGGCACCTCGGCCACGCCAGCCAGGCAGGGCCCCGAGGCGGCGGCCTCGGCCTCCAAGGAGGCCCTGCAGGCCATGATCCTGAGCCTGCCGCGCTACCACTGCGAGAACCCGGCCAGCTGCCGGTCCCCCACGCTGTCCACAGACACGCTGCGCAAACGTCTCTACCGCATCGGCCTCAACCTCTTCAACATGTGAGCCACGGGGCAGGGGCCGCCGGGGAGGGGCCGGGGCCGGGGCGGGGCTGTGGGCCTACAGCCCTAGCTACTGTAGGAGGCTGAGATCAGAGGATCGGGGTCGGAGGCCAGTCTATACAGACAAATCCATGGGAGATTTTTTTGTTTGTTTGTGAGGCTTGAACTCGGGGGTTGGGCGCTGTCCCTCAGCTCTTCAGCTCAAGGCGGGCGCTCTACCACTTGAGCCACAGCACCACTCCCAGTTTTCTGGTGGTTCCTGGGAGATCAGAGTCTCACAGACTTTCCTGCCCCGGGCTGGCTTTGAACCGTGATCCTCAGACCTCAGCCTCCTGAGTAGCTGGGATGCACACTTTACTGTTCCTCCTCCACCGGGCACAGAGTCCCTGAGCTCCTCCCAGCAGCATCTAGAGATGGGTGGCGTCACCCCCATTCTACAGGCCAGCAAACTGGGCGCTCAGAGAGGTCTGGAGGGCCGCAGCCGCTCAAAGTGGTAGCGGGCAGCAGGGCTTGGGAAGCCAGGGCCGTCTGACCGATCTGCCACGTGCTGTGGTTCAAAGCCAGCCCAGACAGGAAAGTCTTTGCAACGCCTGTCCCCAGTGACCCCCGGAGGAGCTGGATGTGGAGCTGTGGTTCAAGCACCAGCTTTGAGCAGAAAACAACAACAAACTCAGGAACAACACTCAGGCCCTGAGTTCAAGCCTCAGGACAGACAGACAGAGACAGACAGACAGACACACACACACTTAACATGCTGGGCAGAGTGCTCTACCAGAATCTTCTTAAATTAATTAATTAATTGAATTTTTTCTGTCAGTCCTGGGGCTTGAACCCAGGGCCTGGGCGCTGTCCCTGAGCTTCTTTTGCTCTAGGCTGGCGCTCTACCCCTTGAGCCGCAGCACCACTTGTGTTTTTTCTGTGTGTGTGTGGTGCTGAGGAATTGAACCCAGGGCTTCGCGCGTGCTAGGCGAGCGCTCTACCCCCGAGCCGCCTGCCCAGCCCTCTACCAGGTTCTGAATGTTGCTGCCCGTCTGTGTCCTGAAATTGCCTCAAGACACAGCTGGCCCTACGCCCCCCGAAACTCACCCCTGACAAAGGGGGCCGAGGACAGGGCCCTTGGACCCACCGCGTCCCCCCTCAGCCTCTTGGGGTGTCCGGGGTGGGCTGGGGCCCTGGCGGGGAGGAAGGGGCTCCTTGGTTGTCCTGGGGGCCAGAGCATGGGAGGCGGGGACGGAGGAGGGCCTTCTGTCCCCCCCCCCCCGTGAGGTGCTGGGGTACGCTGTGCCCAGGTGCCAGGGTTCCCAGGGGGTTCACGGGGCACACAGGAGGCCCAGGCTGCCTGGGCTCACCTCTCCCCCTCCCCCGTTCCCAGAAACCCAGACAAAGGCGTGCAGTTCCTCATCTCCAGGGGCTTCATCCCCGACACCCCCATCGGCGTGGCCCACTTCCTGCTGCAGCGCAAGGGCCTCAGCCGCCAGATGATCGGCGAGTTCCTGGGCAGCAGCAAGAAGCAGTTCAACCGCGACGTGCTCGAGTGAGTGCCGGGATTCCAGGCGTCCTCTCAACCCTCGGCCCGGCCGGCCCAGAGGGGGCCAGAGCCGCTAGACTGACACCCCAGGGCTGGCGCCTCCCCACCAGGCTTCGACACCCCTGGTGTTTTCTGGGGGCTACCCCAGCTGCTTCTTAAAGCACGGCCTCAGGAGCGTGGCGTGGCGGCGGTGGGGCTGAGCTGTGGGGAGGGAGGGGAATGAGAGGGTGCAGGGGTGCAGCAGGGGTTCTCAAGAGGTTAACGGCTGCGAGCTTTGCCGGATCCGTGATGCGTTTGCACCGCCGGATCCGTGATGCGTTTGCACTGCCAGAAATAACCCGCCGGCCGCGGGAGGGGAGGGCTTTAATTAAGCCATGTGAGCCCAGAAGCGCTGGATAAAAGGGGGGTTCCTGCTGGCCCCTCCCAAGGGAACAGATGCCCCGCCCCGCCCCCCACACTCCAGCCCCCCCCCCCTGGGTTCCCCACAGCGTCTGCCCGCTGCTGAGATGGCGAAATCCATTTCCTCTACACGCTGCCGCTCAGCCGGCTCATTCCAGAATGCTCCTACAACGCACCGTGTCTCAGCTGCGGGCAAAGCTCCCCCTCCCCGCTTCCCCCCAGCATTCCCGGTCAGGAAGAGGTAGCGGGTTCTGGTTACTGTTCCCTGGGCTCCTGATTACGTTGCTACACACTTCAAAGCACAAAAGGCACCCGTGGCTCCCGCCTGCCACCAGCGACTCAGGAGGCTGCGAGCTGAGGATCGCAGTTCAAAGCCAGCCCGGGCAGGAAAGTCCGTGGGACTCTTGTCTCTACTGAACCACCAGAAGGCAAAGAAGTGGCGCTGTGGCCCGAGTGGTAGAGCGCTCACCTTGAGCACAGCAGCTCAGGGACAGCACGCAGGCCCCGAGTTCAAGCCCCAGGACCAACCATTCCTCTCACCAACAAAAGAAGGCAACCCAGACTTCCCCGGGCTCTGTCCCGCCCAGCCACTGGTTAGCAGAAAGCTGGTGAGGAATGCAGCTTCCCAGGCTACCTCCAAACATGCTAAATACAGTGTGAACACCCCGCCAGAGGACAGCGTGGGGGGTCCCAGAGCACACATGGGGGGGCGTCCTGGTTCAGGGGCACCCCGTGACCCCTCCTGAGCTCCCCATCCGCCTAGGGCCAGCATTTCTACCCGGCTGAGTGCGGGGAGGGAGCTGTGGAGGGAGAGCAGGGGCGCGCTCCCCATCTTCCACCTGAGCCCACGCTGGAAACTAGGCCATGGCGCCCGGCTGGATAGATCCCCCTCCCAGCTGCTGCGGCCCCCCCTCCCCTGCCCCCCAGCCCTGGCCTCCAGCCCACTGCCACTGTTTGTGGGGGAGGCTTGGGCCAGGAGGAGCATGGGGAAAGGCTGGAGGGAGGACCCGCAGCAGGGGGGGGGGAGAGGGCAGGCGGGGCGGAGCCCTGTCTGGGGTGGACGCGGGGGAGGGGGCTGGGGGGCCTCCTCCCCTGCCCTCACGCCCCCCTCCTCCGCCCTCAGCTGCGTGGTGGACGAGATGGACTTCTCCGGCGTGGAGCTGGACGAGGCGCTGCGCAAGTTCCAGGCCCACATCCGCGTGCAGGGCGAGGCGCAGAAGGTGGAGCGGCTCATTGAGGCGTTCAGGTGACCCCTCGTCCCCGCCCCCACCCCCTAGAGGATCGCGGGTCAAAGCCAGCCAGGGCAGGAATGTCTGTGAGACTCTCATCTCCCAGGAACCCACAAAAAGCCAGAAGTGGTGCTGTGGCTCAAGCAGCAGAGCGCCAGCTTTGAGTGAAAAAGCTCAGGGATAGCACCCAGGGCCCTGAGTTCAAGTCCAAGGACCGACACATGTGCACGGGCGCGCGCACGCGCGCGCGCGCGCACACACACACAACACACACACACACACACACACACACGGCAGCCAGTGACCTCCCTCAGGGAGCGGCGTCAGCCCCTCCCCAGCCCCCCTTGCTGGAACTGGGGTGGAGGGAGACTCACGGCCCTGCCTGTGCCCCCCCCCCCCAGCCAGCGCTACTGCATGTGCAACCCCGAGGTGGTGCAGCAGTTCCACAACCCCGACACCATCTTCATCCTGGCCTTCGCCATCATCCTCCTCAACACCGACATGTACAGCCCCAACATCAAGCCGGACCGCAAAATGATGCTGGAGGACTTCATCCGGAACCTCAGGGGTGAGGCAGGGGCCAAGGGAGGGGGAGGGGGGGCCCCTGGGAAGATGGCTGGCTTCCCAGGTATCGCGAGACCCAGGTGGGCCTCTGCGCTGACCTGTACTGTGTGACCTACAGGCCGGGAGTGCCCGGATTACAGGCACGCACTACCATGCCTGGTTTTCCTGTTTGTACTTTCCTATTACTGTGTTAACATGACTAGAGCCTTCTCTTCCTAGAGAGGCCCACCCGATTCCCTCTGCTTCCTGTCCAGCCCTCCTTCCCCAAACCCACCCTGGGTTCTTAGGGAGGAAAAATCACCGGTGACATCTCAACAACACTGCTCAATGCCACCAAAGTCTCTACTGGAAGGAGGGGACGGGGGGGGGGGGACGGCTGGGGGGGAGGAGGGTGACTCTAAAGGGAATGAGATTGAACGTTGGAAAGATGGCGGCAGAGGCGGGCGGAGGGAGAGGTCGAGGCAAATACAGGGAAGACAAGGGGGTGGCTGAACGGAGGGTGAGCAGGATTCTTTACGTCCTCGGCGGTGGGAAAGAGCCCTGAGGGGCGGGCAGAGAGCTTTCCAGAACCTGCGGCAGGGAGCGCCCCGGCACTGTCCTGGATTTCATGGGATTGGGGAGCGCGGCCGGCCCGGGGCTCTCACCCCCCCCCCCCCGCTGGCAGGCGTGGACGACGGCGCGGACATCCCCCGGGAGCTGGTGGTGGGCATCTACGAACGCGTGCAGCAGAAGGAGCTCAAGTCCAATGAAGACCACGTCACGTACGTGACCAAGGTGGAGAAGTCCATCGTGGGCATGAAGACGGTGAGTGCCCGGCGCGGCCCCAGCCCCGGTGCAGCCCCAGCCCCAGCCCCGGCCCCGGTGCAGCCCCAGCCCCAGCCCCGGCCCCAGCCCCAGCCCCAGCCCCGGTGCAGCCCCAGCCCAGCCCCAGCCCCAGCCCCAGCCCCAGCCCCGGTGCAGCCCCAGCCCCAGCCCCAGCCCCGGTGCAGCCCCAGCCCCAGCCCCAGCCCCAGCCCCAGCCCCAGCCCCGGTGCAGCCCCAGCCCCAGCCCCAGCCCAGCCCCAGCCCCAGCCCCAGCCCCGGCCGCAGCCCCGGCCGCAGCCCCAGCCCCAGCCCCAGCCCAGCCCCAGCCCAGCCCCAGCCCCGGCCCCAGCCCCAGCCCCAGCCCCAGCCCCGGTGCAGCCCCAGCCCAGCCCCAGCCCCAGCCCCAGCCCCAGCCCCGGTGCAGCCCCAGCCCCAGCCCCAGCCCAGCCCCAGCCCCAGCCCCAGCCCAGCCCCAGCCCCAGCCCCGGCCGCAGCCCCAGCGCAGCCCCAGCCCCGGCCGCAGCCCCAGCCCCAGCCCCAGCCCAGCCCCAGCCCAGCCCCAGCCCCAGCCCCAGCCCCAGCCCCGGTGCAGCCCCAGCCCCAGCCCCAGCCCCGGCCCAGCCCAGCCCCAGCCCCGGCCCAGCCCCAGCCCCAGCCCCAGCCCTGGTGCAGCCCCAGCCCAGCCCCGGCCCCGGCCCAGCCCCGGCCCCAGCCCCAGCCCCGGTGCAGCCCCAGCCCCAGCCCCAGCCCCGGTGCAGCCCCAGCCCCAGCCCCGGTGCAGCCCCAGCCCCAGCCCCAGCCCCGGTGCAGCCCCAGCCCCAGCCCCAGCCCCGGTGCAGCCCCAGCCCCAGCCCCGGCGCAGCCCCAGCCCCAGCCCCAGCCCCAGCCCCAGCCCCGGTGCAGCCCCAGCCCCGGTGCAGCCCCAGCCCCGGCCCAGCCCAGCCCCAGCCCCAGCCCCAGCGCAGCCCCAGCCCCAGCCCCAGCCCCAGCCCCAGCCCCGGTGCAGCCCCAGCCCCGGTGCAGCCCCAGCCTCGGCCCAGCCCCAGCCCCAGCCCCAGCCCCAGCCCCAGCCCCAGCTCCAGCCCCAGCTCCAGCCCCGGTGCAGCCCCAGCCCCGGTGCAGCCCCAGCCCCGGTGCAGCCCCAGCCTCGGCCCAGCCCCAGCCCCAGCCCCAGCCCCAGCCCCAGCCCCAGCTCCAGCCCCAGCTCCAGCCCCGGTGCAGCCCCAGCCCCAGCCCCAGCGCACCCCCAGCCCCAGTGCAGCCCCAGCCCCAGCGCAGCCCCAGCCCGGCCCCAGCCCCAGCCCCAGCCCCAGCCCCGGTGCAGCCCCAGCCCCAGCCCCAGCGCAGCCCCAGCCCCAGTGCAGCCCCAGCCCCAGTGCAGCCCCAGCCCCAGCGCAGCCCCAGCCCAGCCCCGGCCCCAGCCCCAGCCCCAGCCCCAGCCCCGGTGCAGCCCCAGCCCCAGCCCCAGCCCCAGTGCAGCCCCAGCCCCAGCCCCAGCGCAGCCCCAGCCCCAGTGCAGCCCCAGCCCCGGCCCAGCCCCAGCCCCAGCCCCAGCCCCAGCCCCATCCCAGCCCCGGCCCAGCCCCGGCCCAGCCCCATCCCAGCCCCGGCCCAGCCCCGGCCCAGCCCCATCCCAGCCCCGGCCCAGCCCCGGCCCAGCCCCAGCCCCGCCCCCCGGCCCCAGCCCCAGCCCCGGCCCAGCCCCGGCGCAGCCCCAGCCCCGGCCCCGGCGGGCACAGGACACAGGCGCGTCCTGGCAGTCACTGCGCCACGCGACCGTGCAGAGGGGTGATCGGGTGCGAAGGCCGGCTCAGGGAGCGGGGGTCAGGGCCCGGGCCCCCCCTGCCCTGGTCTGCGCTGCCTCCCGGGGGCTGTTTCCTATGCAGGGGGGTGGCAGGGCGATCCGCCTCATCCCCACCATCTCCTGGGTGCACGAAACGTGCAAAGACCCGTCTCGGGCCTGCGCAGGAGGCCTGGCTGCGCAGAGGAGGCTCAGGGTCAATGCAGGCCCCGCCTGGGAGCAGGAGCAGGTCCCCCCCTGTCCCCCGGGGCCGCCAGCTCCTCTTCCAGAAGGTGGGCGCCGCGCACCGGGGAGGAGGCCTTGAGGCCCGGCCGCTCTGCTGAGCCCAGGCCCTGGGTTTCAGGTGCTGTCAATGCCACACCGCCGCCTGGTCTGCTGCAGCCGGCTCTTTGAGGTGACGGACGTGAACAAGCTGCAGAAGCAGGCCGCGCACCAGAGGGAGGTGTTCCTCTTCAACGACCTGCTGGTGGTGAGCAGGGGCGCTGGGGACCGGCTGGGGCGGGGCCAGGGCGCTCTGGGGCCACGCCCACTGGGCGGGGCTCATCCACCCCACAGGCCGGGACTGGGGCTGTGCTCCCAGGCCCCGCCTCCGGGGGTGGGCGGGGCCAGCTCAGGATGCTTCCCAGGCCCCGCCCGCTGGGAGGAGCCAAAGCACCACACACCTGGATGCTCCCAGGCCCCGCCCACTGGGAGGAGCCAAAGGGCTCACCATCCAACAGGCCAGGACCCATGCTCCCAGGCCCCGCCCCCTGGGAGGAGCCAAAGCACCACACACCTGGAGGACTCACCATCCAAAAGGCCAGGACGGATGCTCCCAGGCCCCGCCCCCTGCGTGGGTGTGGCCAGCTCAGGATGCTTCCCAGGCCCCGCCCATTGGGAGGAGCCAAAGGGCTCACCATCCAACAGGCCAGGACCCATGCTCCCAGGCCCCGCCCGCTGGGAGGAGCCAAAGCACCACACACCTGGATGCTCCCAGGCCCCGCCCACTGGGAGGAGCCAAAGGGCTCACCATCCAACAGGCCAGGACCCATGCTCCCAGGCCCCGCCCGCTGGGAGGAGCCAAAGCACCACACACCTGGAGGGCTCACCATCCCACAGCCAGGACGGATGCTCCCAGGCCCCGCCCCTGGGGTGGGCGGGCTCTCAGCCAGTGCCCTCTGCCTGGGAGCGCGTGGGTATGAGCTAGATCAGGAGCCGCGTGCAGTTACCTGGGAAGGTGGGAATACACAGCCAGAAGATCCTGGCTCTCCGAGGGGCAGGGGACACACCGCGCATTTCCATCCGTGCTCCTGCGTGGGGAGTGTGTACCGGGACTTGGTGTGCAAACGCCACACTCAGGACATGCCTGGCGTTGTCCTGAGCGCCAGGGGCATGAGCAGGGCTTGGCTGAGGCTTGTCTCCACCGGCCCTCTGTCAGGAGAAGAGCGGGCTGGAGCCAGCCCCACCTGATCTCCTCTCGTTGTCCCGCACCCCTAACTCCATGCCCTCCACGACGCAGCATAGGAAATTACCGAAATTACCTTATCCCTTTCTTGGCTTTTGCTGTAGCGTCCTGATGGCAGGCAGGAAGGAAGGATGGATGATGGACGGATGGATTTGTCCTTCATTCTTCCCCTGGGGTCAGGAGTCAGCTCACAGGAGGTGCTGGATAAAATATATACCTGTAGAGCAACTAGTTTAACTGACCTGTGTCGGGAGGAGAGGAACAGAGATAAAAAAAGAAGCAGCTACTGGGGCGGGAGAGGGCTGGGGAGGGCGCGGGAGGAGGGGCAGAGAACAGGTCCACCCGGACAAAAAGTCGATGAGACCCTCAGCTGAGCAGACAGGCCAGGCTTGGCGGTACAGGCCTGTAATCCCAGCCACCCTCGAGATGTAGGTAGGAGGATTGCAATCCGAGGCCAGCCAGGGTAAAACGAGCAGGAAACCCTACCTGAACATAAAAGCCCACAGAGGTTGGGGCACGTCCGAAGTGCGCACGAGTCCACGTGTGTGTGTGGGGGGGGTCCTTGTCTCGCGCAGATTCTCAAACTGTGTCCGAAGAAGAAGAGCTCGTCCACGTACACCTTCTGCAAGTCGGTCGGCCTGCTCGGCATGCAGTTCCAGCTCTTCGACAACGAGTGTAAGTCCAAATGAGATGAGGTGGGGTGGCGGCGGACGGGGCAGACCCGGTGTTTTGGTTTTGGGGGCTTTTTTGTCAGACGTGGGGCTTGAACTCGGGGCCTGGGTGCTGTCCCTCAGCTCGAGGCTGGCGCTCTACCCCTTGAGCCACCGCGCCACTTCCGGTTTCCCGGTGGCTCCGGGGAGATGAGCGTCAGGGCCTTCCCTGTTGGCAGATTACTCCCACGGCATCTCGCTGGTGACGCCGCTGTCGGGCTCGGAGAAGAAGCAGGCGCTGCACTTCTGCGCGCTGGGCTCCGACGAGATGCAGAAGTTCGTGGAGGATCTGAAGGAGTCCATCGCGGAGGTGACGGAGCTGGAGCAGATCCGGATAGAGTGTAAGACGCGGCGGCACCGGGCCTCAGGGCCCAGGGGTGACGGCTCAGCGCCAGGCAGGGGCAGCCCCCCACCTCCGCCCCAGCCCCTCTGAGCGAGCAAACTGGGGAGCACAGAGAGGTTCAGGACCTGCCTGAAGTCACACAGCAGCAGGGAAGCTCAGATCTCAAATCTGGGCCCGGCCAGCCGCCCCCCCTCCCCTCAGAATCGGGTGCGATAGCACCTGTCACCTCTCGCCTTGTTTCCCACGGGACTTGCTTGCACTCAGGGCATGTGGCTGGGCCGTGAGACGCCCACTTTAGGCTTCCTGTGTGTGCTGGGGATGACACCCCCACCTCCCCGCCCCCCCCGCCACCCCCCCTTCCCCAGCCTCATGGACTTTCTGCTGCCTGGGCTGGCCTCCAATCACAATCCTCTGGTTCTCGGCCTCCTAAGTGAGCTAGAGCGACCCTTGTGGCTAGCAAGGATTCAGTGTGGGTTAAACCAGGCAGAGGGAGGGGGAGAGGGAAGGAGGGGGGAGAGGACGGCGGGGGGGGGGGATAAAGGACAGGGCTCTGGAGCTGCGGGGGGGGGTTGCTCTCCCTCCTCTCCCCTGCCCCCGTCTCCCCCCGCGCCCCCGCGTGCTGGAGGCCGCTCTCCTCTGACCAGGCCCCTCTGTGTCCTCAGGGGAGCTGGAGAGGCAGCAGGGGACGAAGTCGCTGTCCCTCAAGGCCGGGGGTGCCCAGGTGGACGCTCAGCCCAAGCAGGGGTCCCCCCCAGGTGAGCGCGGATCCCCAGGCTGGCCGTCCTCCCCGCGGGGGGAGGGAGGGGCAGCACAGCCAGGAGCCCTTCAGTGCGTGCGTGTGTGTGTGTGCATGTGCGTGCGTGTGTGCATGCGTGTGTGCGTGTGTGTGTGTGTGCGCACACGTGTGTGCGCACGTGCTCCCGCCAGGCCTGGCGCTGGAACTCAGGGCCTTGCTTCTTGCCCAGCCTTTCTCGCCCACGGCTGGCGCTCTACCACTGGAGCCACAGCCCCCGCCCAGCCTTTTTTGGTGTGGCTGTTGTTGGTTCATCGGAATCACAGGGGATTCGTCTGCCCTAGCTGGCTTTGAGCCTCAGTCCTTGGAGCTCAGCCCCCGTTGGCTGGGATTACGGGTGTGAGCTACCATGCCCGGCTGAAGTCTCTTTATCTGGAATTGCTCTTCCGGCTCTCCCTGCGGTCCAGCCCCGGTCACCACCTCCCCTCCTCCGGCCCCCAGATGGGGAGGAATCAGATGGCAGGAGAGTTAGGCCCCAGCTCAGTGCTTCTCCCCCGTACCCCTAGCCCTGAAGGGGGGGGCAGGAGGAGGTGTCCCCACACAAGGTCCGCTTGAGCTGGTAGACTGGTGGACGCCTCGGGCCCCCGCCCCCCAGCTGGCCCGGAAGCCGCGCTCAGGACAGACGGACAGCAGCACAGGGACGGCTAGGCAGGGCCGGGGACCTGGGGCTCCCGCCTGCCAGGAAAGCCCCACCGTCCGCTCGTCCACTGTGATCTGGTCCTGGCGTGCCCGGCGCTGCCCTCGGCCTCACCTCAGCTGGGGTCCAGCCTCTCACCCCTGCTCTGCGCCCCCGAGGGCTTCTGAGAGCCCTGGTCAGGCCTGGGCGGGCGGCCCGGGCCGTGTTTCCTGATAGCAGGGCGGAGCCTGGCTGCCCAGAAGTCCCGCCCCGAGGGCGGGGCTGTGGGAAGCCGAGCTGGTGGTGACACTCAGCAGGTCTTCGGTTCCCAAGCCTTTTTGTTGTTGTTGGTGGTGGAGGTGGTGGTGGTCCTGGGGCTTGAACTCTGGGCCTGGGCGCAGTCCCTGAACTCTTCACTTCAAGGCTGATGCTCTACCACTTGAGCCACATATATGGCGCCACTTCTGGTTTTCTGGTGGTTCATTGGAGATCAGAGTCTCACGGACTTTCCTGCCCAGGCTGGCTTTGAACCTTGATCCTCAGATCTCAGCCTCCTGAGTAGCTGGGATGACGGGCGTGAGCCACCGGCGCCCAGCCTTTACCTCTCAGCTAGGCTACATGACAGAGACTAAAGACAGCCCCTTCTCCCTTGGACCTGGCGCCCACAAATCAGGGCTGTATCTTCACCAGCATCCCCAGCCCCCAGGGAGGCTTTTGCAGCACGATGCGCGCTAGACTGCTGTGCTAGACTGCCCAGGCCCAGAGAGGTTCTGCCTCTGGCGGAAAGTCACACAGCTCAGACCCCACTGGGGCCTGCGCCCCAGCCCAGGCTAGGCCCCGGGCGGAGAAGCTTCCAGCCCTGGTGGCCTGAGCCAGCCTTGTGCCCTTTGTATTCAAAGCCAAAAGCCAGCCGGCGGCCGGGGAGAAGCCCGCGGCGGCGGCCGAGAGCCCGGGGGAGGTAAGTGAGGCCTGGTGCCGTCCAGGTGAGTGACCCCGTGGCCCGCGCCCGCACCGTCTTCCTTCTCACCGTCTCTGTTGTTTCTCTTCCCAGGTTTTACTCAGTGCCTCCCCAGCCCGAATCTCCATTTTACCAATTTCAAGAGATACAATTAAAAGTTACTGCTAGCATGGGTAATGCCACCTCCCGGCGCCGGCCGCCCCCTCCAGGGCGGAGATCCGGGAGACGCAGCCCCCTCCCACACCCCCGCCCTCCCTCCCTCCCTCCCCAGCAAACCCCCCGCCTGTGGTTCCACAGAGGAAGTCCCGTGCCCCCCCCCCCCCCCCCCCGCTTCTGGGCAGCGCCACGCTTCCGGATCCCTCTGGGCAAAGCGGACAGGGGTGGGGAGCAACTCAGGGCCGAGGCCGGACCCCGGAAAGCCAGCCTTGGGCTGCGTGCGATTAGAACGAGCGGCGGGAGGCGTTCCCACCCATCCCCAGGTCACAAGCAAAGACAGCCCCAAAGCCTGGTCCCCCAGGGGCCCCCTCCGTGGCCGCCAGGCCCCCCGCTGCTTCACACACACAGTCCTACCCCCCCACTTCCACCCGGGGGTTGGATCCTGAGCCCCAGGGCCCGGGGGCCTTTTCCGTCTGTCCCGGCGCCCAGCCCCACGCTGCGGTGTGTGTCTGCGGGGACACCCCACTTTGGAGGAGAGTACAGTTCCAGCAGCCGAGCCCCTCCCCCGGCCCCCCTGTACAGCACCAGCTCCCCCTCCCTCGGCCCCCCCCCCACCTCGGGCTCCAGGGCCCTGCGGCCGCGAGACCCGGGCTGCAGCCTGCCAGCAGCTCCAGCGCTCCCTCCTCCCCCCCTCCTCCCCTCCTCCCCCTCCTCCCCCCCCCTCCCCTCCCCCTCCCCCTCTCCTCCCCCCCCTCCCCTCCTCCTCCCTCTCCTCCTCCCTCGCCTCCAGCAGGTGCTTCTCCATCTCTGAGCTGTCCTAACTCTGCTATCCATGCCCACCTGTCTGTCTGTCTGTCTGTCTGTCTGTCGAGTAGGGAGGGGAGGAAGGGGAGCGGGTGATTTGCTGTCACTTCTTGCTTTTCACTCACCGGCTCTTCCACATGAAGGGCGCAGGCTGGCCGCGCACAGGGTGCCCCCGCGGGGAGGTGAGGCGGGGAGGGAAGGCGGAAGGCCGTGCGGGCCGGCCCTGTGGGAGGACTCGGACGCGTGGGGCGTGAAGGCTCCCTTAGCTCCGGGCGGAGCCGTCTTGGGCTGGGCCTGGGATAAATCCCTGGCTGCGGCCCCTCTGCAGTGAGTCTGGGTGGTGGGAAGCATCCTCAGCCTCAGTTTCCCCCCTGCCCTGTGCAGCGGGGACACAAGTAGGAAGCATCCCACCCCGGGTATAGGATAAGGAATTAAATCCTGCTTCTGGAACCTTCCGGCCTCTCTCCTGTCCCTGTCCTCCAGGTCTCTCGCTAGCAGAGGCCGCCAGGCCGGCGCACTCACGCCGGCTCCGTGTTCTGCCACACTGGGGCCCGCACGCGCCCCTGCCCGAGGGGTGACGCTTAGAGAGGCCCCCCCTCCCAGCACACCCCCCCCCCGTGGGCACACTTAACCAGAGCCCAGTGGGGTGCTGTCTTGGCGAGTGCCATCTCGGGGTTCGGACAACCCTAGGAGACGGGTTGGGGAGCGGTAGGAGGGTCCCAGCGTCAGGTCCTCCGGCCCGCAGCGCACCCCTGGGGGGCATGAAGGGGCACAGGTCACATGCCCTGCTCCTCCAGCTCTGTGGGTGGAGCTAGCTCAAGAGGTGGGAGGAGCTAGCGGGCGGGGGCGTGGTCAGAGTGAACAGACCGCAGGCTGGAGGCCAGGGCTGTCCCCCCGGGGGCCAGGCCGGGTGAGGCCGTGGGTAGAGGGGGTGGCTGAGCTCAGGAGTCCCCCTCCCCCGGCAGAGGGGGGAGGCTCAGGGTCTTCAGGCCGGGGAACTGGTCTGTAACATGTCACGCTTCTCTGGCTGTTTCTAAACTAGGTATCAATTCACAACAGGCTCCAAACGCCCCAGCACACGTCCGGGCTGGGGGCCGAGAGGGGACCTCCGCCATCACCGCCACCACCGCCGCCGCCGCCGCCGCCGTCAGACCCGCAGCCTAGCCCCCCGGGGGAGCCGGCCCTGCGACCTCTGCCCCCCGCACCCCCTGGCACCCTGGTCCAGTGCCAGCAGATCGTGAAGGTCATCGTCCTGGACAAGCCCTGCCTGGCCCGCATGGAGCCCCTGCTGAGCCGGGCCCTGTCCTGCTACGCCGCTGCCTCGTCCCCCACCCCCCTGCGGGGCCCGGGCTCCCCCACGGCCGCCCACCAGCCCCCGCTGCCCCCGCCCCCGCCCCCCTACAACCACCCGCACCAGTTCTGCCCCCCCAGCTCCCTGCTGCTCCGGCGCCGGGGCTCGGGCGGCTCCCGCAGCCTGGTGTAGACACGGCTTGGTGTCTTCCACGTCTCACCGCAGCTTGGGCTCAACACGGGGGGGGGGGGGCCCGGGGGGCCCCACCTCCTGCTGCTCCCCCTCCAGGCCTGACACCACGCCCCCCTCACCATCATCTGGCCCACGGCACACCACGCTGGACCCCGGCCTCGGGGCTGGAGGACACTGAGGAGGTTGAGGGCCGGGCTGGCCAGCGGGCTTTGGGGGGTCTGTTGGTACCCAGGCTTTGGAGAAGATGGAGGGGGCGAGAAAGGCTGGGTGTGGCCGGCGGCGGGGACCCAGGCCGCCTGGGTGAGGCTGGCCGGGAGGGCGGACGGTGGGAGCTCAAGGGCGGCGGGCTTTCTCTGGCCAGCAGTCTCCGGAGCCTGCTCCTTGGGCCCCAAAGATGGCGTGCTGCCCTGACCCCTCCTCACCCCGTGTCCCCCGCCTCCCGAGAGCCCCCCCATGGAACACCGGCTCTCTGTAGCTCCAGCCCACTGCCGTGGGGTCGCACGGCGATCTCCTTGCACACGCACTGTGTGTGCAAGTTCCCCTGCCCCAGCCCACGTCGGAGCCAGCGCACACGGGCACGTGTGTACACACACACACACACACACACACAGAGCGGGACCAGGCTAATTCCTCGGGGACACGCACACAAGCAGGTGCGGACATCCCCCCCCAAAACCAGGGCTCCATCCTGCATGGCTCTGAAGCTTCCAGAAAGGGGGTACAGACGGGCTAGAGAAGTGGGGGTCACCCGTGCCTCTGCTGCCTCCCGTACCTCTAAATTGAGCCCCCCCCCCACTTCCTGGAAGGCGCTGCTCTGCCTTCCGCAGGGGTGAGTGGATGGTCTCTGGGCCCTCAGAAGTGCACAGATAAGCCAAGCCGGGCTCCCCAAATCCCAGGACCCAGCAGAAGAGGAGACCCAGCCCACATGGTCCCGTGGAGCTCTAGGAACTGCCCCCCCCCCGCCCCCCGCCCCCCCCGCCTCGTGAGGGGCAGAGACCTGCCAGGGGGAGAGACCGGGGGGGGGGGGGGGCGGGCCACGGCCTGGCCCGGTCAGGGCCGGTTCAGGAGGTGTTTGTGGGGGGCCCCCCCCTGCTGCCCACGCTCCCCTCCCACTTGCATCATTGCCAACGCCTCCAAAAGACGCAGCCAGCCTGGAGCGCGTGTGAAGCGCACTGGCTTTTCTCCTTGGGGCCTGAGCCAGACAGGAGGCCCAGAGAGCAATCAGCTGGGCTGGATGACCTCGTTTCTCCCGTGTGTGTGCGTGTGTGTGCGCGTGTGTGCGTGTGACCCATGCGTCATCACCCTGTCACCCAGCGTTTATTTCTGGCCCTGCCTCTGACAGCCAGACCTCCGTGACCCGCGGCTGATTTGCTGTCTCCTTCCCGGGCCACGTGCTCCCCCCCGCCCCCCCCCGCAGGTGTCTTTCTGTCAGAGTGGGGGGGCCTGTTGGGGTGAAGTGGCGGATAGGTGGGGCGCAGGGTCTGACCCCCCTGCTGCCCTTGGCCGGGGGTGGGGAGGACAGGAGTGGGTGGGTTTGAAGAAGGGTCTGAAGGAAGACTGGAAACGAGGACTAGGAGTCAGGTTGTGAGGGATGGAGGAGGGAGGGAGGGAGGGATGGGGTCAGCTGTGTATATCTACGTATATCTACGGGGTCTGGGGACAGGGTCCCCGGGGCCAGGGGCCTTCCACTGGCGCCCTCCCTCCCCGGCCAACGGGCACCACCTGAGCTACTTCCCCGGGGAGGGAGGGGCTGGCCCTGGGTGGCAGGAGGGGGTCCCTGCTGGGGTGGGGGTGGGGGTTAGGGTGTCTCAGAACCCCTGAGAACCAGGAGAGGGTCCCCCCCCCCCCGTGGAAGCAGCTGGCCCTCCCTCCTCTCCGCTGAAGATGCCAGAATTCCCAGCCTCTGGAACTTTCCTTCTCAGATCGCGGTAGCCTGAGGCTGGGACCCTGGGCAAGGCCCCCCCGCCCCCTCCCACAGCGTCCAGCTCTCCCGAGGTTGAGAGGACAGCAGAGTACTGACCCGTCCCCCCAGACCCAGGCACCCCAAGGTGGTGCCACCCCCTCTGCTCTCTAGGCCTTACTCTAGGGGGGACCTGAACCCCTTTCTCCTGCTCCATGCACTCGGCCCCAACTCCAGAACCAAGAGCGGGAGATGGAATTAGCTTTCCCAGAGGATTTGGGGGGCCGGTTCCCTTCCAGGCCAAAGCAGAGCCTGTCCCCCTGTGTCTGCGGAGGGGTCTCCCCCCAACGTGTGCCCCCCCCCGCCCCGTCCCGGGCCTCCAGGCCGCTCTGTTCCCGGTAGGTAACCCCAACAAGCCACTCCTCCGTCCCTGTCTGTCCCCAAGTCTGTCCGGATGTCCTTCTTGCTGTCCCCGTCCCCCCTCTCCAGGGAAAGGCCGGGCGGCCGCACCCAGCGACGAAACCCAAATGGCAAATATTTTGTAACAAAATAGCCCAGAGGTATTTTATCTGTTCAATTCATAGAGTTTTAGAGATTATATTGAAATATGTCACTTGAGCAAGCCATGCGTGTGGTGGTGTACTGCCGTCCTGGATGAGGGAGGGCCCCCCCGGCCCCCCCCCCCCCACCCCCCCCCACCCCCCCCACCCCAGGATCAGAGCCTCTACCCGGCAGGGGGAGGGGGAGGTGCTGCCCCCTCCCAGGCCACACAGTCAGAATTCTTTATCCCCAGGAGAGAGCAGGACTCAGGATTAAGGACCCCCTGGGGTACCCTCCATTAGGCGGAGTGGGGGTGCAGGGCTGGAACCTGCCCGCAGGTGTGGCCTGCCTCCACCTCCCCAACACCCACTCACACCCACACCCAGAGCCAGCCGCTCACCAGGGAATTGGGAGGGGATACAACAGCCAACCCGCACCAGGGTGCCGGGCCAGCCCCCTGCCCTTGCCGGGCCCAGTCCAGCACCCCCTGATGTGATTGTCACTGGATGTCAGAAACCCAGCCCAGGCAGGCACCTCCGGGGGAGGGGGGGAGGGGGGCAGGCAGGCTCTCACGAAAGGGGGGAGGGGACATGGCTGGGCACAGGGCCTGAGCCTCTGGACAGCGGCAGCCATGCGCATGCAGGAAACCTCCCCTTCCCCCCCCCCACGCCCCTCCCCCCCATGCTGTCACAGTAGGAAATTCCAGAAGCACCAGAGGCCAGCAAGGACTGGTCCCTTCCTGGGAATTCCCTGACCCAAGAAGCTGGGAACTGAGGGCACAGGCCAGGCCCAGCTTGTGGGCCCAGGCCGACACGGCTCCTCAGCCCTGGGGGTCGGGGTGTCCAGGAAGGGCAGGGGCGTGGTCCTGAGGCCATCCCTGTGGGGTGGGTAGACCTTCATCCTTCTAGAATGTCCAGGTGTGATGGTCACTAGATGCCCGGACCAGGGAAAGAAGGGGCGGGGGGGACCCATAAGGCAGGGGGTGAGGATGGGCATGCTGGGGCCACTGGGACCCTGGGAATTTTTTTTGGCAGTCCTGGGTCTTGAACTCGGGGCCTGGGCGCTGTCCTTGATCCCCTTGGTGCTCAAAGCGAGCGCTCTACCCCTTGAGCCACAGCGCCACTTCCGGTTTTCTGAGTGGTTCATTGCAGGTTAAGTCTCACGGACTTTCCTGCCCAGGCTGGCTTTGAACCGCGATCCTCAGATCTCAGCCTGCTGAGTAGCTAGGAGGACAGGCGGGAGCCACGGGCGCCTGGTGGTACCTGGGATTTTTAAGTGCACGTAGGACTCACTCCGAGGCCTTTTGCAGACCCCCCTGAGGCCGCCCTCCCACCCCTCCCCGTGTGCCCTGTAAGTGTGCAGCACGGCCGCTTCCTCGAGGGTAGCATGGGAGACAGCGTGGTCACCTGCCCAGGCTGGCCGTGTGGAGCCGCGTGGAGGAGGCACTGGGCGGCTCCAGGGCGGCAGGCCCGAGTGACAGGTGGGGGGGGGGGGTCAGAGCCGCCTCCCGCCAGCACCGCTCTCTGATGGCCTCATACCAAGGCCCACCTCCTCCGCAGGGTCCCCACACCTTTCCCCCCCCCAACTCTCCTCCAGCCCTGCGGATGGAAGCAGGGGGGTAGGACCAGGGATGGGGGCAGGGGGCAGTGGCAGGAGCCCAAACTGGTCCCAGCAGGAAAATTCCACCCTGGATGGGACTGCAGCTCAGGAGATGGGGTGGGAACACTGTTCCTCCCCCCCCCCCCCTCCCCTGTGGGCTTCCCTAGGGAGCCGGCAGTCCTGAGCCCCTGGGGCTCGCTGCTCCCACGACCCCAGAAGTGAGTGACCAGGTCTGGCTCTGGGAAAGCTGGGAACTAGCCACGGCAGGGGAGGTGACCCAGGGGACATTGTGTTTCTGATGCTCTAGACAGAGCTGCCTACCTCCTCCTCCTCCTCCCTCTCCTCCTCCCCCTCCTCCTCCTCCCCCTCCTCCTCCCCCTCTCCCTCCTCCTCCTCCCCCTCTCCCTCCTCCTCCTCCTCCCCCTCCTCCTCCCCCTCTCCCTCCTCCTCCTCCTCCCCCTCCTCCTCCCCCTCCCCCTCCTCCTCCTCCTCCCACTCCTCCTCCTCCTCCATCTCTTTCTCCTCCTCCTCCTGCTCCTCTTTCTCCTCCTCCTTCCCCTCCTCTTCCTCTCCCTTCTCCTCCCCCTCCTCCTCTCCCTTCTCCTCCCCTCCTCCCCCTTTTCCTCCCCCTCCTCCTCCTCCCTTCTCCTCCTCTCCCTCCTCCTCCTCCCCCTTATCCTCCCCCTCCTCCTCCTCCTCCCCCTCCTCCTCTCCCTTCTCCTCCCCCTCCTCCTCTCCCTTCTCCTCCCCTCCTCCTCTCCCTTCTCCTCCCCCTCCTCCTCTCCCTTCTCCTCCCCCTCCTCCTCTCCCTTCTCCTCCCTCCTTCCCCTCCTCCTCTCCCTTCTCCTCCCCCTCCTCCTCTCCCTTCTCCTCCTCCTCCTCCTCCCCCCCCTTCCCCAGCCCCCTCACTGGGCCTACCTGGCAGCAGACCCCAGGGTTATGCCAGCGGCCCTATTTTATG